TTAACAACGCCAAATAATGGGGTGCATTAGTGAGGTTAATCCTGCGGCTTCAAGCGGACTGAGATGGGCCAGAGAACTTTACTTTCCTCTTGCAGTCCACAAGCCTCCATGATTTGTTCGTTCATCTACTTGTGCACAAGGAGTGGTGCTTTGCGCATTTTAATGATTATGAAATGTTGACTTTTCTTTCAAGAACTCATTTTCATGTGATGAGTTTACGTGGTTAGAAGAGGATTGAAAGAGGAAGCGACAATTCATTAACCAGGCATGTCATATTGCAGCACAAAGTGTCAAATTTCAAATCGTGGCCTTCTCAACACGAAGGTTGGCGAGTATTCAGGCGACATAGTGTACTGCAATGGGGCCTAATCTGTCAACAGATGACAAAGGTGCTAGTCTCAGCATAAATACTAACTAGGGGTAGCTTAGCCCCTTGGAGGAAATAAAAGCGTTTTATTGTAATATTAAAGACCGCTACCACAACTGCAAAGGTTAATAAAATGTTGAAGTCTTTTATTGTGTATAGTAGCTAATAAAACGTTTATTAAAAAGTAACACTGATTTAAAGAGTTGGCATTTGAAGACAATTGAGGTGACAGCTATGAGAGGTCATGGTCGCAAACAGTGGAACAGCTAAGATGAAATATCGGCAAAGGGGCATACGGAAGGGGAGATGAATAAAACGAATTGTCTTGGCCTCACTCATTCCTTAAGTCCACTCCTGTCTTGTATTGCATTGTGCAGCTACTAAATCAAATGGCAGCACAAAAGGCGGGAGGGCGACTCATGCCAACAGGATGCCCTCATTTTGCAGTAAGCAGAGCCACAGGCGCCTACTTACAATCACTTATTCAATATCATCAGGACTGAACTTAGCCTCACAAGAAAAGTAGGTGGAGGTGGAGGCGGAGGAGGAGGAGGAGGCGGAGGAGGAGGCGGTGACGGTGGTGATGGCAGCGGTGGCGGCGAAAGTGGAATCACGCTTTGAATGGCAACAATTGGAAGCGCTTGTGATGCTGATGATAGAAAAGCTTCTGGTGTTGATGTTCAGGATGGTGAGGGGAACGACGAGAAGAGTAGCAATTATAATCCAGACTGACAGTGTTTCGCATATCCGTGGTCAAAGGTCAGAGGAAGGCGTAGTCACATTGAGATATCAAATAGCTTCGTAGAAGCCCACAGTCTTACTGCTTAAAGTGCATAGACGCTAGTGACAAAAAGATTTGGTTCTCTACCTCGGAGTTTCTTGCTTTGGCTGTCTCCTCTCTCTATCTCTCGTTAGGTAGCTCTTCTGCTCTCACTCACCCTCGTGCATGTATGCATCACCCACGCCTCGGCTCTGCTCGTGCCAACTTGCACGCATGCACGCACCCTCGCACTCACGCATTTTGTGCAGGAATGCGGGCACCCAGTGAGTAGCGTTCAGCGCATCCATCGCTTTTACGCGCGCTCACGCGTGTAGGCATACACGCACAAAGAAATAGGCATGCACTAGCACGCACAATATCGATCGAGAGGAGACACTGCTGGCACGTTTGCACGAGGAGTCCTCGTGTCACACATGGGTTGAGTAGGTGGTCTCAAACTGGTCGTCGTCTACTCTTCCTGTCTCTTGTAGTCTCTCCTACGCCTGACACATCATTTGGCATTTGGCCTTCACGCTTGCTCCACTTCCTTCTCCATCGAGTGGTTACCGGTAGGATGGACCGATATTCAGCGGGGCTAAGTGACATTCAAAATGTATCAAAAATTGGCAACATCGCAGCAAGGTGGAATGAAGGAGAGCACACTCATTTAACCGTGTAGTCAGTAATAATGGTCTGGATTTTTGAAACTGTGGCATTTGTGATTGTGCGTCTGCTACAAGGGTATGGCAGTTGGTTCATTGATAATGCAAGCTGCTTGCCACCTTTTAAGGACGATTTTGAAGCAGTACAAATAGTGTGTGAGTCAACCTTTAAAACGGTGACATGGTCTATCACTAACCAGGAGGGTTAAAGCGGCAACAAAGGAGAGGAAAGAACAAACAAACCACTTGCAATTGCGCGTGTTCGGAAGGGGACCTTTAAACTGCCAAAAGGGGGGTGCCATTTCCGATGTACACAAAGTGGTGTGAGCAAATGATACCACCGTGCGGTGGTGTTCAGCCTAGAGGAAGGAGGGGGGCTGGAGGAGCAACGTCACGGTGACACAAAGAAGGACGCGCAATGCCACACCAAAACCTCAACTGATTGCCAAGGTACTATGGCATTAACTAGGGCCACCAGTCATCGCTCTTTGTGGAGACTTTGTGCTTTCTATCTCCCTCCTTCCATCTCTTTCATACACACAAACACACGCACGCACAAATGCACCGCCACTCCAAGTTTACGCAACCAAGAGCTCCATGGAAAGGGTAAACAGATCTGATGATGGTTGTATAAAAAAATGAAGGAAAAAAGAGCAAGCACGCAGTTAGTTGGAAATTACTTTACCAGCCACTTAGCTGGCATTGTATGGTAATAAATTACCACAATACAGGCCGCTTATAGATTCATTACACCCTTCTGTGTAGAAGTGTGGTAGCTGGGTAAAAAAGGATGGAGGAAACCGCATATGAGGGGCATGGAGCCTCCAACAGCATTGCCGGAAGGAAGGCTGATTTGTGGCCGAATGGAAAGATTGTTTTAGTTACTGAACGAGAAGAGATGGGTAAAAGCCAACGCAGAAAGTAAGCCAAAAATCTTGCAGTTACTTACTCCCTCAAAAGTCCTATCCGCTTCGGTTGGCACCTTGCCCTGCCTCGCGTGGCAGTCAAATATCTCAAATCGGCATGCTTCGCCTCTTCATTCCACCTCGTCGTTAATGCCCTCTTCTCTCCTCCATCACGTCAGTCTGCTTAGCAAGTAGGGAGGCCATCAGTGCAATGAATGCCAAATGATATTTATCGACAAAGTGGAGAGGCAATACTTAAAAGTTAATGAGTCATTAAAACATATCCTTTATTTCTAACGCGTCATTTCGCACAGGATTTATTACCGCCTCTTTTGACCTGGGCTTTGCACAACCTCAAACTACTTCTGCCACATCCCACTACGCCATTTTAACAGGAAAGAGACTCTAACTATCTGCAATACGCTGATGAAGTGCCACGACACATTAATGGCAATAAATCCGCGAGAGCAAAATGAGGAGAGAGTGGAAGAGGCAACGGGTGAGACAAAGCCAGAGACAGATAGATGAATAGCGATTTGCAAATTTGAGCATTTGACCATCTCCATCCCCACCCCCTGCCTTGTCAACCCTCTACTTTCAGGCAGGGTTAATTTTTGTGCTTTTCAAGCTCATTTAAATTGGAAATGAAGGCTTTGTGCCCATTGGATCGACGAGGCCATGCGAAGTGTAGCGGCTTCAACTCCCTCAAACGGCGAATGCCTCATCTCGACGTTTCCCAGGTACCCCTGGAAATGACAAATACCAGTAATTTTTTAACAATTCATTTTTGACGCGTGAATATACTTTCTTACTATTTGAAAAGTAGGCTGTGAAGCTTAAATTCTTCTGCTAAAAAGAGGAT